ACACACACACACACACAAACAGCTGCAGTTAAATATAAATGACGCAATATTATATCACTTCGCTATTAATTGGTAAGAAATTGCGCGGAGATTTTCAGATTCGCGCCTAATTTCGCCGCTCGTCTTGCATTTCCTGTATCTCTCTCCTTCCATTTCCGCCTTGATAACCTCATTCGATGGAAGCGCTATGAAAGCACAAATACACGGTAGTTAAACATTCTCTCTCGACCAATGGCGTTTCTGCGCAAGGCAGCCTAGGATCGACGCGCCGCGTTAGTCGCAACGTCGTAACTGTAACAATTTCGGACAGTTCATTCCTCATTTTCACGCTATTATGGATTCGTTAGCGAATTACGCTAGTGACGGAGATAATAGTAACAATTCGGAAGATCCGAAGGTATGTACGTACTGTTAAAATATTGGGTTAATTTACGATTATTTCACTGATGGCGCATTTTCACCTAGGCATCCATGACGCTTAAGAAACATTTCGTATATACACTCGACATGGCTTCTAGGATAGATTCTTAAGTCAATATATAATTTGTTAATTATTAATCTTGTAATGATATATCGGGGTCTTCCATGACTCCAGCAAAAATATTTCTATGCAAATAGATAGCGATTTATACAAATAGTGATTCATTTTACGAGATCACTACTATTTTGTAAAAAAATCTTTGTACTGACACATATAACGTAGGTATGACAAGAAAATGTGAGTTGTAAAAAGAGATTCAGGGGAGATTCACTGCTGGAAAAACTCTTGTGTGATTACAATTTTTGGAACGAAAATCTATGAATTTCATATGATAAATAACCTGACAAAACGATTTCTGCGGAAAAAATATGCAGAGGCTCCCTGTTCAATCATGTTATGTTGAATTTGAATATTCTATACAATTTAAACTGAATGTTTTGTGATAGTTTTGATGAATAATCTATTGTTTTGTTTAACTCTGTTCATGTGATATAGATCAATAATATACTCTGTTATATAGATTATAATAAGTCAATTTGTGAAAATCATTGAAGTTGTTTTGTTAAAATTACTATTATATGTAATGATTCTTTACATATTTACTGATTATGGATTATAGATTATTTATTTTATATTATTTACTTCTGCTTACAAAGCAATATATTCACTTATGAATTATGATTACAAATATTACAGATAAATATAATAATTATATGTAAGTGTATTTTTGGACGCAAGAATGGCTTCTCGATACTCAGGTTTTTTTTCCAGGCATATTAGTATTTTAATGCACGTTAGTATTTTATACTAATACATAATTCATATTAATAAAACTATTAAGAAGGAATATTAAATTTTTTAATAATATAAATAGCTTTGAAATGGCTTAATTACGTAAGAATACATAAGGAATATTTCATTTTCAAATGTAACTGGCTTTTATTACTGAGACCCTTTTTGCTTTCTAACAGTTATATGTAATGATTATTTTTGTAATATAACAGTTTTTCACTTAATACTCTTATAAACATTTATTATTAATTTAATATTAATTAATGTCTATGATATTTGAAATATTTGCTCCTTGTAAATTACTTGATGATTTATTATGAATATTGTTTCAAAGATACCATATGGGATGCATGACGACACCAATAAACGGGCCAGTGATGCTAACTATGACCCAGTACAAATGGATATGAGTGAGGTACAGTGAAATTGAATGTTTGCACATGTTTGTTTGTAATAATAAGTACAAAATGTTACAACAATCACTAGGAATATGTGGTATCTTTATGGGGGCTGTACATATGATGACTTTATGTCGTACCTGATATATAAAAAAGAATGGTTTAATATTTGGAGGTCATTTAATATTTTTGGAGGTCATGTCAAAACCATGTAAATAAAATATAATTTCACAATAGCACTCTTATTGCACCTATATTTTGTATTGAACATTTAAGCAGAATTTAAAAAGCTATTTATATTTGAAGTAAAAATTGTTTCATAGTGGTCTCACACAATTTCAATTAATTATTTTTAACCATAAAAATGCTGATGAACATAACACAGTATATATAATATAATGGCAATAGTTTTTTTTATTATGACTCATTTTGGAGTTAATAACTAATACAAATCATATTATTTACATCATATTATTTACATCATATCACTATGATACAATATACTCTTACTCTTTATTATTTTTACATCATCTTTTAGTATTTTGTAACAATATGGTTAAAACACAATAAATGTAAAATTCTGAGAAGTTTGAGACATGACCTTAAAGCCTGATTTATCACGTGGCAGAAACAATGAGGGTAGAGATTGAGATATTTAAAATTTAAATAATAAGTAAATGGGAATAGTGCCATTTCGTGAGAAAATATTAACACGTAGCTCTGTTGGTAATACATGATACAATATCTACGCACCTCGGCAAGGTCTATGCTGTGTGAGGGTCTTTCAAGACTACCCCAAGTCCTATTCAGAAGACAGAGGTGAGTAGAGGAAGCTGGAAGAAGGTAACACTAATAAAAAATCAACCATCAAAGAAACCACATGTACAAACGTATTCGGGTAATATAACTAACTGCTAAAGCAGAATATGAAGGGCCCTTATATTCCTGTTTCTCTTTTATTCCGTTCATCTACCAGAAATTTGATCGGAAAAAGTTTATGATAAAATTTATGACGAACAAAAACTTCTATATTGTAACATATTTTTGTAACAAGAACAACCAAGGATGTGAGAGAAATTTATTTTTCCATGAAAATTATTAGTTTTAAGAGTACTTTCTATTTTTAAATATTAAAAGTATTAGGATATAGTAATTTTTACTTGGTAATTATAAATATTGTAAAACTCAATCTTTGTGAACACTGAAATTTTGTCAATCACATTTTTGCAAATTTTACAATTTTGAAATGAACTTGCTGCTTAAAAAGTTCAAGGGTACAAAATTACAGTGAGTGAAAAACTGTTTTTTGCCAAACTGTGAGGATACTAAAAGAATGTTTAATTTATATTATAGTTCTTGCAATATAAATTGAGATTTATGTTTCACTTAATAAAATACGTGAAAGGTGTATAGTAACGTGGGTAATTTTTATTTCTTTAGGAAAGCAACAACAACAATTCATCCAGGGAATCCAGTAGTGAAAGAGCACATAGTCCAACTGCACAATCAAAAGCAGACTCATCCCGAACATTACCTTCCCCCTCAGAC